GAATAATTGATTAATAATTAATAATTATTGGTTCTGTTCAGAAACAAAAAGGAGCTGAAAAATAAAATAAAAACAGAAAAAAATAAACTTTTCCCGCGGCTTCAAATAAAAACAGTGAAGAACCAGAACCAGAACCAGAACCAGGACCAGGACCAGAAGCAGGTCCAGAGGGGACCGGCCGGACCTGCTGGGTCAGAACCCCGCGGCTCACCTTGGAAGCGGTGACCCAGGAACCGGTTCCGGAGGACCCAGGGGTAGAAGCTCAGCGGGTCCCGGTGCTGCGGACTGAAGAAGCTCTGGGCCGGGATCTGCAGCGGGTGCAGCGGGAGCCCGCCCGGGCCCGGACCTGGACCCGGACCCTGCGCGTGTGTCCCGGGCTCCTGCAGAACCACGTCCGGACCCGAACAGAACAAAGTCCTGGTGCTGCTCCCCTGGAAGCAGGAGCCGAAGAGCCCCGCGGAGACCGGGTGCAGGGAGTCCGGGAAGCGGAGCGCCGTGGGCCGGATGGGCTCATCTCCGGAACCAGAACCGCTGCCGGACCCGTCCTTCCCGACCAGAGCCTCGATGGTGAAACATTTCTTGTTGCTGTTCTGGAACATGTTCAGGACCAGGACCAGGACCTGAGACCGGCAGGGACAGGGGCAAACTTCTCACTGATTCGGGTCCAGTCGGTCCAGTTCTTCGGGACTCGGGGAGCTTCAGAACCCCAGTCCCCCCATACCTGTCCCCGGGAGTCCACCTGAGCGCAGCCGCGTGCCTAAAGCCTCCTGCGGGTCCTGGATCTCCTCACCGCTGCGGGACTAAAACTTGTTCCGGATCCGGGTCCAGGTCCAGGTTCAGGTCCAGGTGACGCGCGGATCCTCCTCGGATCAGGGACTCTGATGGTTCCGGTCTGGGACCAGTGGATTCCTCCTCGCGCCTCCTGCTGGAGTCTGATCCGAACCCAGAGGGTCCGACAGTCCGGTACCTGCCCGGCCCTGCTGAGGTGTGCTGCGCATGCGCAGAGCGAGGAGGAGGAGGAAGAGGAGGAGGAGGAGGAGGA